TCCATTTTCCTCTCGGAGTTTAGGTGCATGCACACACGTGCATGGGCACATGCCTGATGTGATTTTCAAGCCACAGAGTCTGGGACTCCGACTGTGCAGCCATGTGGGAGCCGGCCATCTTAACCTCCACGTCACCTGCTGGCCCTACGTAATCGGCCAGCACATACGTCACCTCCTCCGCCATCACAGTACCCGCAGAGCTGGAGGCAGCACCTCCCGGCCTTCCACATCAAAGTGCACGGAGAATATGTTTGCCAGGTACCCTGGAATGTTTCCAGATGCTTCCAGAGGGCAGCAGACCCATGTCCTACCCAGTCATGGTGGGGATTCAGAGTTGGATCTTAGAACTCCCATAATCCATGTGGGAAATTGGGACTCAGAGCCAAGAAAACCGCAAGTGACAGAGCCAGGCTTTGAACCTAGGTCTGTGTGACTGTGAGCCATGTGCTTCCCCTTTCCTCCCAAAAGGTGTGGCAGGCTGAGGTCACTGGCATTATCTCCTTTCCTTCTTTGTATTTAACAAAGGTCTTGTTGAAAATATCAGCTAGGTAGACTGGATTGATAAGATTTGCCTAATCTTTGGACAGAAGGATTTGTTTTTTTAAAGAGATTTTTGCTATAGGGTGTGTGCACTACCTAAACAAAGAGAGACAGTGAGAGAGAGAGAGACACATCTCCCCAGGGGAGATAGCTATGCCACAGTCACGTCTCCTCCATTTTCCTCTTGAGATTTTGGGCATGAAAGCACTCGTGCCCAGCGTGAGTTTCAAGTTGCCATGTCTGGGACTTAAACCACAGTCGGCCATGTGGGGATCCAGCGACATAACCATTAGGCCATCTGCTGGTCCCAGACTGGAGAATTAAGGACTGTCAAGGGCCACGCTTGACAGGAGAATCAGAGAATCCAGGAAAACTGGGGGTGGGAAATACTCGTGTTGGAGTTCTTTATTTAATAAGGACGACTCTCGTATGTTGTCCTCCAAAGGAGGGTTTTTCCCTTAGTGCTTTAGAACGGGTCTGATTGATTGTGGAGCACAAAAGGGTGGTGGCCTCAGCTTGGTTCCCCCACGAAGGAGAAGCCAGACGCCACAGTGGAGCAAGCACGCAGCTGGGATTCGAACAGGTGTAGGCCCCAATGCCAGCTTCCTGACCTACTCGATTAACCTCCTGGGGTAAGTTCACTTAAACTCGCCACCCTTCTGTTTCCATAAGATGGAGCTACGTGAGGGTAGCGATAAAGAATGTGAAACACGGGCCACGCCCATTCTGGCACACAGTAGGTCCTCAACGATGACGGGCTGACGAGCAGGTGCCACTTCTCTGACTAAGGATCCCAGGGCTGAGACTCCCGTGTACTTTCACTTACAATGAACTAAGAACATCCTCTTGCGATAAAGTGCACAGAGTACCAAGAACCAGCACCTTGTCATCATGTCAAGAATCCCAGAGAATTGTCACACCTGACTGGAGCTAGGTCACCACCGCCACCGCGCTCTGCCCCTGCTCCTTTCTGCTGAGTGCAGAGGAGGGGCCTGCAGAGGGCACACTGCTCATCTCTGACCCGGAACTGGGGTTCCAGACCTGCCCTAAGCACCCAGGACAGCCTTAGGGATTCCCAGACTGAGCAATGACACAGGAGGACGGTGGAGCTTCCTGGGCAGAGCTTGGCTTCTCAGCAGGTCCTCCCCGAGGGTTTATGAACTCTCCTCCTTCTCCCTCACCTCCTCCACTCTAGTCTACCACTAAGTCCTGCTCACGTTACTCCTAAAATACCTCCTGAATCTGCCCACCTCTCCCATGGCCTCCAGGCCCGCCCCTCCCTGGACTGCTCGGAAGCTTCGTCAAGCTCTTCCACTCCACAGGCGTGCAGTGCAGTCCTGGCACCAGCCAGAGAGCTGAGGGTCAAACTCCAGGAATCTGGCAAGAGCTGGTTGTGGTGGGAGTGGTTACCCCATGGCAGACCGTAAGCACCACGCAGCAGGGGGCTTCTCTGGAAGCTGCTTTCCCAGAACCCTCGCTCCAGCCTTCCCTGCATCAGTAAGCCTCCTTTCAGCATCCTCCCACAGCTCCCTGGGTCAGGAAACCCCTGAAGGGCCTGCGCCTCCCCCACCCCCCAATCACCGCCCTCTCTTCCAGGGGGGGAAGAGTGCCTTTCAGCCCCAAGTGCTTGCCCTCCCCTGCCCTGCCCGGCCACAGGAGCCTCTGAACAGACCGCTCCCTCTGCCTGGCTCTCTCCTATCTTCTCTACCCTCCCAGCCATCTTCCACCAGTCCGTGGAAGTGTCAAGCGACACTGGAAAGCCACCCCTGGCTTCCTGACGGGCCTCACCCCAGTCTAGGTCCCCTTGCCCGTGAGCCCTACCCCGGCTGCACTTATAGAGTTGAAAGTATACAGTTAGAATTGGTTAATTAACAAGGTTAATTAACGATGTCTGAGTCCCAACCCGGTTGGCCTGAAACAGCCAGGCACTTGGTTAAGTGCCCCAGATCCAAAGGGCTAAAGGACTGGAGGAGAGGGTCGTGGTGTGACCAGACTCCACGGAGGGTGCCCATGTCTCCCCGAACCGCTCAGTCTCATGAGCACGCAATCCGCTGTGTCAGCAATAAAGAAAATGAACAAAGAACAATTAAGGTTTTTAAAAAGGGGAAAGGACTGAGTAATGGTCATTTTAGGGACCAGCAGTTGGCGTAATGGCTATGTCGCTGGACTCCCATGTAGTCGTCTGTGGTTCGGGTCCCGGACCCGGATGCTTAAAACTCATGCTGGGCGTGTGTGCGTGCATGCCCAAGATCCTAATAAGAGAATGGAGGAGAAGGGATTGCGACGTGGCCATCTCCCCCTGGGGTGGGCGCGATTTCTCACTTTCTATCTGTCTGTCGGTCTCTGTCTTTCTGGCGCGTGCACGTGTCCTATAGCAAAAACCTCTCCAAAAAAAAGACATAGTAATTTTAGAAGACTAATACATACGCACATGCATTCTTAGGCCCATATCTACAACGCCAGAAATAAATTTCATCTGCTGGCAGCTGTGCACGCCCAGAGAGCAGACAGAGGCCATTCTGCACAAGAGATGACAGCCAGAGAGCACACTAGACGGGACTCTCTCGAGGGAAGCCAGGACATCCCCATTTAAGCTGAGTCCCAAAGCACTCGCCTGTCTAGAAGCAGCTCAGGCCAGGCGTGTGCAGCCAGAGAATGACCTAGGGCTCCTTCTCCGGTGCAGCCTCCCACCAGGGCACATACGAGGCAGTTAGATGTCCAAGACCTCCCCCCACAGGGGTTACAGAACTCCCAGTCTCCCAGCTGGGAGTGAGGACACTGCCACCTGCAGAACCACACTCTGCCCTCCCTCCGCTGAGAGCTGACGGCAGACCTAGAACGTGTTCCAACGGAATGGTACAGGATGGCGACAGTCCTGACCTCCCTGATACAGCTGGTCAGCCACCTTGACCACTCTTTCTGGTCGCCGCTGCCCGTTCCTGGCAAGTGGTTCTAATTCGCTTTCCCTCAGTCTAGAGGGGCCTCAACAACCCTCGACTAGAAGCAGGGCCTTCCTGGAAGGACTTAGGTGGGTTGGAATTTTGAGTCAGAAGTTAAGTTTAGCTATTCAGCTCATTTCAGTCCCCTAAAAGCAATGTCTGCAAACTGGATGTGCGTATCCCAGATGTCACCCAAGGTGGAATCCAGAGACACAGAAAAGGAAAGTAAGCTTTTCAAACATTGGCTACATGGCGCTCTCCCCAGACCATTCACAGAGGATTACGTCTCATGTCTGGCACGTGGGGTGCCCTGAAAAAACCAGAGGGGCAGAGGGGCCCCTGGAAACATCCCCAGGTGACATGTGCCCAGCTTAGGCAGAATTGTGACTACAATACCCAGCTTTCATAAAATAACTCATAAACTGGTGCGTGACTTCCAGCCATCCCTGCAGAGAACTGCGAGACATACCACACCCCAGCGAGTGGGAGCAGGAGGAACTGACCCTGGCGGTGTGTGCAGCTCATGTCAGACACATATGAAGTAAACATGCTAAAAGAAACAGATCCAAATAACTCACAACTATACAATTATTTTGACTTTGGATTTTCATCATTATCCCATTTTCGTCATTTTCATGTTTCTCTGTGGGTTTGATGCTAGGCAGTACTAACAAACAATACTTAGAAGACATTGTCACTGGGACCAGCAGTTAGCGTACTAGCTATGTCGCTGGACTCCCATGTAGTCGCCCGTGGTTCGCGTCCCGGACCCGGTGGCTTAAAACTCACAACAGACACGTGTGCGTGCGTGCCCAAGATCCCGAGAGGAGAATGGAGGAGAAGGGATTGCGGCGTGGCCATCCCCCCCTGGGGGATGATTTCTCACTTTCTGTCTCTCTGTCTCTCTCTGTCCGGCGAGCGCTCGCGCTCTGTAGCAAAAACCTCTTTAAACAAACAAAAAAAAGACATTGTTACTGACAAATAGGTTTAGATATTTTAAACCAATTAATCTCTAAATATTTGCTCTCCTTGTCCTTTAGGTTTTCCTAATTATATACTTTTTATAACATGTACTATCTGTACCTAACATACTGGCACGTGGTATTCTACTGCAAACGTAGGTGTACACTTTAATATATGAGGAGACTACAGAACACTCATGAGAAAAAATAGAATTAAAGTATGAGTTTACTTTGGTGCAAAAACTTTTTAAATTCAAGCACCATTTTCTCAGAGTACCCACTTTCCATGAACTTTCTGACGACCGTGTGTGCAAATAAGTAAATACCGGGGGCTGAGAGTGTAACGTTAGCTCCTTATTTATTTAGATGACACAGTCAATGAACTTTGGAGACCACTACTGGCGAGTCAACTTAGCGGTGCTGAGGTCCCTTTGCTCTCCTAGGACTCCAGCCCAGGTGAGCTTCTCCATCCACCTGACACGCCCGCCCGGCATAGGCCAGGGGAAGGCGCGGGTCCCGCCCTCGTCCCGCCCTCCCGGCCCCTCGTGCCCGCCCCTACCTGATTGTGCCACCGGATGACGTTGCCGAATCCCCCGGTCCCCAGTCGCTCTTTCATTTCCCAGGCCCCGCAGGTCTGGGTGGGCAGGGAAGGTGGCCAGCTCATACTGAGGCCGCGCTAACTCTGTAACAATTCCGGGCGGGGCGCAAGTTAGGGCTGAGCAAACCTGAACAGGAGTTTTGGGGAGGCAGGAGCCCGCTGCCCTGGGCTGTGGGGTGGTTTTGTAAATAAACCAGGGTGCTTCTCGGGGTGCGAACTTCAGGTGTCTCGCCCTCCACGCCGGCCGTCGTGGAAGCACTCGTGGAAGCACGTGGGGCGAAAAGCCCTCACCAGATAGGGAGCCCCGCGCCCCAGGACCTAGGAGGGGGTCCCCGCCTGACTTCGGCCGGAGCCCCTAACCTGCGGGAGGGGACCTGCCGCGCGGCCACTGCAGTCACGTGTGTCCAAAAAAAGTCCCCAGGAAGTTCGGTCCTACCCCGGGGCCCTGTGTCCCGGCTTCCCAGGCCCACCCGCTGCGGCGCCCCAGCCCCCC